TCCTGTCATTTTGCCCCTCTGGGATAGTGCTTTGTTGGTTCGTAGGCAGTGCACAAAACCAAGGATTCACCGGCCGTTTCACCGAACCACTGGGCCCGACTCTTCACTGGACTTGCGAAGTCTTGGCTCCCATCTGAAACTCCAACAACCCAACCCAGCAACAACGCCAGACAAGTTCAACAGGCACTCAATTTGTGATCTGATCAATGTCTCCCAGTGCATCTCCCGGATGGACATATAGGCACGAAAAAAACCGATATAAGTCTTCAGTCACACCTTCCCAACATAGGCATCCTTCAGTCCAAATTTTGGGCTTCCTTCAGTATCCCATCTCTCACGTCCAGCTTGTTCTGCCCAGATCGCAATGGAGTTCACCGCAAAGGGGAAGGACTCCTCCACGGAGGGCTGCGCAGGCTTCAAGGAGCCCAAGTAGTGCAGCTGGGTCCTCGCGAGGACTGGGCGACTGCGCGGTACAGCTGGGAGCTGAAGGACACAATTGAACGGGGCAGGCTTCTTTCGAGCAATTCCCTTGCCAACCAAGCCTGTAGGGTAAAAAGATCAGGACGACCCAAGCAGTACCAAAAATATCCCAATATCCCAACTCTGTTGGATGATGCTGGGGGGCAGTCTAATTAAAACGTTACAAAAGAATTAATCTAATTTTGACCCATAGAACCAATGAATTCACCCACCCTCCTGGGACATGAGTCCACTCACGAGTTTAGGGATCGCTCCTCAAAACCCTACTTATGTTGGGCTGCGAAAACAACTAAAAACCACAGGTTCATGGAACTCGTTCATTTGGCAGCCAGCATGTGAGGATTATCATGTATTATGTAATTATGGGGAATCGTGGGGGATCGGGTTTGCTTCGATGTGATGTCTTCCATTAGAAAACACATGTCGACCCGCTCAAACACATCCGCCTCCACAGCTGCCTCCACATCCAGCCTCTTCATCCCTTCGCCAACATCGGCCTCCACCCCGCCCTATCCAATGCACCAGACCCCAGAAACTCCTTCAACGCCCAGAAACTCTGCCAAGTGACCCATTGAAATAAGTGTCCAAGCGCTGGAGCAAGGCCCAAAGGTTCAAGAAAGTGTCAGAATCCACCTGCGCAGGTTTTCGGGGTCAACGAGGCGACTGATCAATCGTGCTTTGAACATTTTTGAGCGAAGTACATGGGGTAGGATCCCGTGAGCTAAACCAATTCTGTGGACGTCACAGGCAACGATACGGTAACTAGGGTAGGGTAGGGATCTGGAAACAAAGCTGAACAGTCTCCAAGACTTGCAAAACCACAGGACCTCAAGTCCAGCTTGGACCCATAGACCATGATTCTCGACCCATCATTTTCAAGTGTAGTAGGTGATAGCAGATGCATTGTCCTGAGGACTTGCTCTGCATGTTCATCACACATGTTGCTTAACATAAATTAAAGTTCTTGACATGAACAGCCATTGCGACCACCAGGGAGGAAAATTGTGTGAATCATGAACAGCCATTGTTTACTGCTTCTTGACTAGGTCACCAGGTCAGCCTTTCTTTCACTTGGCAGAGTAGTAGTCGGGTTTCCTCTTGAACAAGTAGATCACAGTAGATCTGTCAATCGTTCGTTTTGTGGTCGATGTGGAATTGGGGAATCCTTGTTCACATTGGCTGGGTGTTGACTTACACAAATCCTGCACTGAAGTCCTGATTTGAGGTGTCGGTCTAAGCAACTTTGTTCACAAACCCGTCCGTCCGACAGGGATCGAATGGAGCAAATCAGACGGAAAGGACTGCCGGTGACTGCGGTGTTGGAGAAAGGTGGAACGTACAGTAAGAACCGACAGATGGTGGCAGCAGGGCAGCAACAGTATTCTCTGATTTTGACCAAAACGGATGCTTGGCAGGGCCATCTCCAAGAGAACAGCTGGGTGTTCGGTGTTTGCCAGTGTGCTGTTTAAGCTTGAATTTGTTTAGGGTTTTACATGGATTCTTGGCGGAGGTAGCTGGGCTGGATATCGTGCCAGCCCTGAGCTACCTCTGCGCATGTTGGGGGTCTTCCCAGCGCAGTCCACGGAACGCGGACAGTGGACCGGGAAAGAAGTCCATGAAACAAACGGTGGAGATGTTTGGAGGCATATTGTGTTGTAAGCACGGTCTAAAACCGTTTTGAGGGGGGCTCGAAGTTCTCCCGATTCCGATACAAACCCTAACACTATAATAGATATTATATTTATACATGACATGGATCCGCCGAGAGAGGGGGGACATACAAACCATGACATATAACCATACACGTCTGGATTCCCTGGGAACTCATCGGCCTTCGCATACCAATCGCAGTCAATTGGGTGATGCACCTGCAGCGGGCGATGCACAATGGAGTAAAAGAGCGGTGGAAAGCTGGGGGTAGCAGTAGCCAGCTTTAAAACCGCAGTAGCCAGCTTTAAAACAGTTGCATAGTCAGAAGAATAGACCAAACTGCATAGGTCATTGTCATAGTATGTCATAGTCATAGTCAGAAGAATAGACTAGACGGTCAATCTGTTTCCTTCATCCACACCCATGACGAGACGAACGGACCACACCCAAACATCTTCTTCATCCGAACGAGGAGGAGACCGAGACCAGGCCGTCACGTCGACGGAATTCTGTCTGGGCCCAGTCGAGAAGACGCACTGTGTGACTTTTATAACCCAGACACGACCCATGGGACTGCCATAGGATTGCCGAGAAACGGCCAGGGGTGGTGCCAGAGGGGTCAATGTAGGCATATATGGCAGTCCCATGGAGTGTGCAGTATAATAGAACGTGTCCATGTCGCCACTTTTGAGGCACGCCATCGAACTCCCACAGCGCAAAGGAGCGGACTGCACAGTAAGCCAAAGTAAGCCAAGCACGTTCGCAACGGTCGGCTGCTTGCACTGCAAGTTGCGGGTGTTAACAACCAGCTTCCCTGGTCTCACTTCATCAGAGTACCAGATTGAGATCTTAGGTCTTTTGCATGGTGGGCAGGCGCAACCATCCTCTTACGCATGGAGGCCAGGAACTTTGAGCTCCCCTGATACGATTCCAACAGGAAACTTGCAGGTATACCATGTTCTGCAAAGATACTCCCGCACGCGAAACACCAACGGCGTCAGTGAGGCATCCAGTCCGCAGCTGAAACAGACCAAATACATGGACTAAATGTTAATGGCCAATGGAATGCCTTTGTGTCCCATGATGGGATCAATGGAGTGCCATGTGAGTAAATGGCTCCATTTCGACCGACACATGACCGACACATGTGACTGGGGCCATGTCTGGGCCAAGACATCCCGCCTATTCAGCAAGTTGAACGATCTTACACCTCGGTGAATTCACCCAAAAATCCATCCCATGCACACCCAAATGCCTGAAGCCACCAATGGCAATTCATGATCTGTGGATATCTGTGGGTTTCCACTGGGATGCTGGCCAGCCACTTTGAGCACTCCATGTTCACAAACATGTTTGGAAGAGTGTTTGGCCCTCTTCAAACTAAAAAGACCTTTCCAGGTCCCCAACGTCTTTTCCCTTGACATTAAGAACATCCTAACTGATGGCTCATCTTGATTTCCCCTGATGGATATTGCCCCTACCACCACTCATTTCCCCACATCGGTCCCCCACATCGGACGTTTGTGGCTCGTGGCTCGTGGCTTCAGTGGGACTTCGCCCCCCCCCCCCCGAGCTCCCGAACAGCCAGGTAGCGCCACAGCAGAAAGGCCCGGATCTGCCGGTCCGTCCCGGTGTCGACCGGTCCATCGGACGTGACCCGACTGACCCGACCGTTTCGGTGCCGTACCGGTCTTAGGTGCCAGAACCGGATGGATGCTGGATGCATTTAAAGTCCATTAAAGAGATTCAAAAAAAAATGCACAGAACGACATGCACCTGGAGACTTTCCTTTTGTTGGGATAACTGTCTCGTCGGACTTTCGTACGACAACCACTTCAAACGGGCCAGTGAACTCTGGCGTCCGGTCCAAACTTCCCTCTGACTAGTCAGCACTGACTTATCGCTTTCTCTTTGGGGGCTTTGATTGATATGAATACCACCTACATGTCGATAGAGTACTCATGATAGTAATATAGCTAGTTAAGAACACATATTATATTCCCCAGGATTCGCCAGGTTCGGGGATTCGGAAAGGACATGGCATCTGTCAAATGGGGTTGCTGCAAGGGTTTCAATGACCACTATGACTCATGGCCAAACACGGACCGCCATGCTAAATGCCAGAGTCCAAACTTCTTCCAGGAGGTCTTGGGGGTATCCCGAAAATACACACCCAAAATGGGTTTTCGGACAGAAATCTGGACCAAATCGATTGTCAATAATTCAGTCCATGGTCGACCCCACTCGGGAGAAACTGCGTGTGTTCTCGGCACAGACCGGGGTCCCAAGCCGGGTTGTAGAGGAAGCCCAAGTCCACGTCGCCATGGAGACTGAGGATGGGGGGACCATCGCTTCCATCAGCACCTGGCGGCTAAATTGACTATAAATGGGACCTACTCAGCCTGGGGAGAGGGTGGTGGGTTTGAGAAATGTCTGTATAAAAGTGGTAAAAAATGAAAGACGTGTAAGTATAAACATCGCAGACTTTGAGACCACTACTGTATTTGCTGCAGCATGATGCAGCCCTTGTTTGTGTGGATACTTCTTACAGAAGCGGGACTGCTCCGCTTATTGTTCAGTCTGATAGACCCGTAATAACTTAATCGATCATCGGTCGTTCACACCTATATAAGGACCTATAGGGACATACCGACCGGTTAATTAGGAATCCAACACATTCACCCAATTCCACAAAAAAAAAACGCATTGAGACTCAGCTTCTTCTTGACTCTTCAAAGTAGAGTCGGGCAAACTCTCACTGCCAAGCACGGATAATTGTTGGGGCACCTTCATGTTCCTTGCTTTGCTGTCTCAACACCATCTGGCAGCCCTCCACATCTCTGTCTGGTTCCACAGCGCGTCGTTTCTTTCTCGCCAGCTAACCGATTTTTGGAAGAGGCTCGGCTCACTCAGGCTTGCGGCCAACGACAACCTCAGGTAGCCGGTTCGGAGGTCTGGCAATCTTGAACTTGTATCACACCTCAAACAAATCCTACCACTTACTATTCATCCTCAAACATTACTATAACACCATGCAGTTACTATTCATCCTCAAACCGTACCACTTCGTGGGAAATCACCCCATACATCTGTCGCAGTCGGGATCATCTGTGCTCCCATCCCATCCCATCTGCCTTGGTCATGCGCGCAATCAGGTCGCTCTGCTCCAACACCTCAAACCCCGCGGCCGCCAAGCGCTCCGCGACGCCCGAGGGCGTCAAGCCCAAGCCTTGGGGATTCACCGTCACGTGCTGCAGCGCCCAGTAGGCGCCCAAGGCCTCGGGCACAAGGCGCGGTATTGTCTTCATTGGGACCGTGTTCGGACAAACACTCTGATTATGAAGGAGCCAGCAGCCCTGGAATGAGGAATCCTTATATCGGGGCTAATTTGAAGGAGCCAGCAAATACGTGGTAAGAGTTTATATAGAATTGAAAGACGTCAGATTCTTTTTGATCGCTTTTGGGTGTTCCGAAGTTGGACCGGACCAAACCAAACAAATGACTTGCTCGAATTGCATCGGAGTTAAAAGGGGCGGTGAAGGGATGTCTAAGGGATGCATCCCTTTTGAACTCCTGGGTATGAATTGAATGGACTATGGGTAGAAATGTTCAAGAAATGCTCAAGACGCAAGGTATAGGCAATGTTTCCATCATCTTGTATGAATGGATTTTGAACATTTGGGAAATGATCAAACACCTGTCACAGACTGGACTTTCCCAGAAAAGCTCAACAACACAAGTACCACATGGGTCGGTCGTGAACATGCTTGGGCAGTGCTTCATCAGTTCATTAGAGTGCTTGTGTTTGTTTATATCTACAGCACTATCTCCGAAATATGACCTTTAGAATGAGTTTGCGTGAGGACATGCTAGTTCCTTTGGAAGGACTCAAGATCTCTCTTTTTTTCCCAAACAGCAAACCTGCAGCCTTTCCACCACACCTGAACAGACCACAATCTCAAATTTCCTTATAACTTATAACTAGTATTATGATATAATAAATAATTACCCATACAATATATTGTAATATCCTAACATGTCATACACACACCTGAAAATGCCTCTGACACCTGTAGACTCTGCGCCGAGTGACCTCCAGTGACACACCGGCCGTCCACCCCCAGCCATCCCCTCCCCGTCGAATGTCTTCGAGTGGCGGGTCCATCCTTGGAGTCTTCCACCATGAAGTCATGGACCACCAGCCGTCCCCCGGGACGCAAGGCACCAAAAGCATTCCGGTACAACGGCAGGAGGGCCTGCGTATGTATCGCGCTTCCGATCGTTCCCGAGACACAGGGGGAGAGCGAGGAGCCAGAGAAGGTGGCTGAATTTGGGGAACTCTGCCACTGAGAACAGTTGGTTTTATACTACTTCGCTGAATAAAGAAGGAAGGTGCCTTTCAATCAAGTGAAGATGAAACTAAACTGTGTCCCAAAACATTCTCCACGGTGCGGGTATACCGTACCTCACATCACCTCTTCATGGTCAGAATAAATCTGCGGGAACGGTCTTGCGAAAAAAAACAGTTCAGGATACACAAGGGATATTTTTCAATGTTAAATTCAAATATATATATATACACGAAATATTTGTATATATGTTTAAACTATAAACAAATAATACCATATGAAACCAGGTTAACCAACAATTCCTTGCTGCTAGATGCTCCATGTCCCACCCCTACCAGCACCAAATCCCCTCACCTCCTCTGGGATGGAGCCACAAAGGTAGGACATGAGCACCTCATAGGACATCAATTGTGCGAGGCTTGGTGGGATCAAACACAAACCGGCACCGCTGGTAAAAATAAACTACCCCCTTGATACTTAGAGCGCTGGCCTCCACCCTACTAGCATGGCCTCCAACCTCCTCAAGCACACAGGCATTGTTCTTGGTCTGTGTTTGCTGAACGTTTCTCAGTCTATGCCATGAGACATTCCATGACCCTTTCTTGGTAACTTTGTGCTGGGATGGACCCCACGTCAACAATGTTTAGCTGTTTAGCAAGAGTACATGACAAGCGTGGAGTTTATCAGCCCGGTGACATCCTGTCCCTGAATTCAATTGTGGCATCTGCACTCGTTAGCAGCGTCCTTGCTACTGTGATTCAACACCGGAGGCGCCTACTTCAGCAAAAACCCTACTGCCTTGGTTGGAGATCCATCAAGCCAGGTTTTGTAGTTGTCCGCTGCAAAGTAGATACCAGTAGAAACGATTGTCAACTGCTTTACAGGGAATGCACTTGTCTGTCTCGATTGGGATGTAAAAAACTCAAGTGAAGAATCAACTGAGTTGCCTTCCAATCCGTGAGGAAGCTTGTGCTTCAGCAAGCCATCAAACCAGTCTCCCACGGTTACAATACACCCCCCAGCTGATTTGCACGACGTTGAGGGCATCCAAGAACTCGTCCAACCAACGAAAAAAAAAGATCCTGCCAAAGTTTTGCAACCGGACAAAAAAAGAAAGCGTCAACAAAAGTCACTATATAGGCAGGCGGAATTTGAAAGCTCCCCTGTTTTCAATGGTATAGGAGACCGCGCTTGTAAAGGAGCGAGTCGAGGCAAGCCGCTGCTCATGTTTGCGTCCCTTGGGTGGATTGCATTGCGCTTGTCTATGCCAGGATGCGTCGAGGATGGAGGAGGACCTATATAGTGTCGTTTGTCGACGCTTTTTTTGTTCGGGTGCAAAACTTTAGTAGGATTTTTTCGTTGGTTGGGCGAGTTCTTGGATGCCCTCAATGATCGGCTTGACGTGGCACGTTATTTAAAAATTTGGCAGGAGCCTATAGCGAAGACGAAGAGGCCCTTTGCTGTGTGGGCAATGCGCAAAACGGCGACATACATGACGCTCTTGCCATAGGGGCCATGGGCCGGCGAGGAGGAGGAGCGGAGCGACCAAGCGTAGGGCCTGGACGTTATACAGATTTTCTTCAGTCTGTGGGCCAGGCGAGCGCTGAGTGGACGGGGGAGCGCTCCAAGTGGGCCTTCACGTTGCGCGATTGACTTTTCCGCGACTTTCGGGATTTCACTTTTTGGGGGTACAGTTCGGTTATTGTGGCAGGAACCATTCTTTGAGAAGGACAATCCGGCCCATAGTGTTGCTGCAGGGTTTCCTCACATTGTTTTTGATTTTGCTACACGTGGCAGGTTGCGTTTGAAGACCCCTTGGAAAAGGACTCGCATTTGTTTGTCCTTGTTCGCCTTGCTTTCCTTGCCGTTGCCTTTCAATTGCGTTTTGCAGGATGCGGTGGGCGGTGAGGACGGTGATGAGGCCAACTCAAGCCATGCGTTGCCCTTCTTGCGCAGCCCATTGTGTTAGATATGTGGTGTGATTGCGGCAGGCGACATTTGAAAGTCTTGAAAGTCCACCGCCGGGGAGAAGGCCAGGTTGCACGCCTCTTTTCAATGGTATAGGAGATCGCATTCAAAAAAGGAACGACGAGTCACGGCAAGCCGTTGCTCAAGTCTATGCCAGGAATCGCACCACACCGGTCATCTACATCACTGGGCTGCGCAAGAAGGGAAACGCATGGCTTGAGTTGGCCTCGTCACCGTCCGACAACACTCGCCCCAGCCTCCATATATCATCGTTTTGATTTTTCCCAGCTGTGTCGAGATTCCAGACCAGGAAAAAAAGAAAAGTAACCTAACCCCAACCCACAAGGACAGACTGAGGAGGGCGCAGGGCAGTTAAACCTCAACGGACAACTGCGTTGGCGTTTGCGTCGCTGCGCCGCCCCAACATGAAAAGAAAGAGGCGCCGACCGGAACCAAGACCATGATGTACCTACAGAGGGCCCCGCTAAAATAGCTCGCGCTCAAAGAAGAAGATGAAACAACTGGGGCGTCGGCTGTGGAAAAGCCTGCGAGAAACAGGACCACCTCAGCTCCCATCTCAAAGTGCCTTGGGCGCACGTTTTCAAATATGGAGCGAAGGATTGTAATCTTTTTGGCCGCCGAGGTTGACACGCGAAATAAGCGATGAAAAGCGAATTGAAATTGGTCGGTGTTTTACACACCCTGACCAAACTGAGCCAATGCGATGGCGCGGATGTTTTTTTCCCCACATTGGCGTGTGGCTTTTTGTTTTTAGTGCTGTATCCGCTCTTCGTCTCCGCCTCCTCCCTCCTCCCGCTCCCCCCCCGCTCAACAACCACCAACCAACCAACATCCACCAACAACGTCCACCAAAAACATCAACTCACTCACACAACCACCAACATCCACCAACAAAACGTCCACCAACAACATCAACGCACTCACTCACTCAACTCATTTACTCAACTCAATCACTCAACTCACTCACTCAACTCACTCACTCAACTCACTCCTTCAAGTCACTCACTCAACTCACTCACTCAACTCACTCACTCGACCCACTTACTCAAGTCATTCATTCTACTCACTCACTCAACCCACTCACTGATTTACTCAACTCACTCACTCTGCAGGGGTCGGATGGACGCCCTGGCGTCCTATGGTCTCCGTGGCTTTTTGGTGCTCTGCAAGGGGTCGGATGTACGCCCTGGCGTCCTGTGGTCTCCGTGGCTTTTGCGTGGCAGGCGCAGCACGTGGTACTCTGCAAGGGGTCGGATGTACGCCCTGGCGTCGCTGTGTCGCCGCCAACACCAACCAACACCAACCACCAACCAACCACCACCAACCAACCAACCAACCACCAAACAACCACCAACCAACCACCGCCAACCACCAACCACCAACCACCAACCAACCGCCACCAACCACCAACCACCAACCAACAACCAACCAACCACCAACCACCAACCAACCACCACCAACCACCAACCACCAACCAACAACCAACCAACCACCACCAACCACCAACCAACCACCAACCAACCAGCCGCCACCAACCACCAACCACCAACCAACCAACCACCAACCACCATGAACCACGACCCACCAACCACCCAACCAACCCACCCACCGACCGACCGACCAACCACCACCAACCACCAACCACCACCAACCACCACCAACCACCAGCCACCAACCAACCACTACCAACCACCAACTTCAACCACCAACCACCAACCGCTCCTGTGTCTCGTGGTGAAGTTGTTAACATGCGGGGTCCCTTTTTCTACAGTGGCGCTGGTGAAGAATCAGTCGCCGTTGGAGGGCGCCTGATAAAACGTTGCGCGTGAACTGAGCAAGCGTTCTATTGACATCATCTGCGTGCCTGGCCTCCGACTCCGATGGGCAAGTCGTGGAGAGAACGTCCAGCTCGTCCACCTCGTTGCGGAAATCCGAGCGCTCGCCCCGCCAACAGTGGCCAAAAGATCAAAGACAAAGCGATTTGAGGGCTGCGCAGGCCAATCCCCCTCTTCCTCCCCATCGTCCTCCGGTTCCGCCGGTGCCTGCGCAGCAAGGGCGTCCACGCATCAAGCCCGCAACCCTGGCCTGCTCCTCCGACTCGCCGGTGTCGTCGGGCAGGGGGAAGTCGAACATTTCATTTGGCGGGGGCCGAAAGGGTGTGAGTATTATTTGCGCGCCGAGAAATGGAAATAAGCACCTGGCCCCCCGTATAAATCTCCCATAATTCTCGAGGCTTTGCACTGTTTGGGGGTCCAAGCACTTCAACATCTTCAACTGCAACTGTTCAGCGGGAGGTCAAAAATAAAACAAAACCTTCCTCTGTGGCTTGACCCTTCCAACCATGTTCAACGGCCATGCCCTGGGCCCCCCTGGCCCTGTACCCTCGTTCCTTCGGTCCCAGGCGCCAAATCCTGCGAGGCCTCCTCCACCGGCCACCGCGTGGGCTCCGTCGCATCCAGCGCGCGGAACTCCACGCGCGCCGCCGCAGGTCCCGCGGCCGCGGTCAAACGGCGGCCCTCGGCGCAGACGGCCGGGAGCTCCAGGACTGTGGCAAATAAGCTCCTGAGGATGAGACAATATGCAAATGGGGCAGATTGATTCATTGAAGTTCAATCATATACCTAAATCAGAGAATTAGAATGATTCGTAGATGCTCTCATGGGGCGTTTCATGTGGAAAAACACGATGCAACCCATGCACTTCGAGCACAGACGGACCATGCTCGCCCAAGGCTCGGGACCCGCTGCACCGCGGTGACGGAGAAGGCGCCGCTGCCACCGCCCACGTCCTGGGTGTGTCCGTCGTGTCCGGTGGGCCCTGAGGATGAAGGTGAAAGGAAAAAAGCAAGACCCTGTTACTATAGTAGCTTCTTGCTACTAGTAGCGATGGAGAGGCCACCCTAGTAGCGATGGTCTCCAACCTACTATAGCTTCTTGATGTTATTCCCTATTGTGTTTGCTATTGGGACGTCATCTTTTTACTTCATTAATGCTTTTGACCGGTGGGCCCCACCGGATTCGAGTGGAGTACAGGTCACATCGCTGCAGGACGATCCTGTGCACGGCGAACAACTATGCTTCTACTGCCGCAGGGATTGCAGGTGAAGCATTGTGCTTTGACCCTTTGTGCCCCAGTGACCTTAAGCTGTTGGCTCCATCCATACACCTCTAGCATCTTCGGCATAGCCACCCATATACATCCTCAGTTCACCAGTTCATCCCTTCTGCATCAGGATGGTCAGCCGTAAGGTCCACCAGTTCATCGCTCCAACGGCTGAGCACCTCACCAGGTGGACGTCCACTTGGTGGGAGAACCCACGGATGAAGCTGAGCGAATCTTGGGATATCCTAGAGTAAGCTTATATGTGCGTTTTAGAATCTTGATTCATTTAGTAAAACCATGTAAAACCCCTATCTGGATTGTAAACCCTGAAATTGTTGTTTATCATGATTCTACATGAATGCCGGGGGTCGTTCCTTCATCCGCTGTCCACGAAACCAACCTCTCGTTCCCGTCCGAGGTTCCAACATCCGCTGCACGTGGTCCAGGCTCACCCGTCGGAAGAGCGCTTTGGCCGTCGCCAAGCTGCCATTGTGCTGGGCCATGGTATAACTTGCGGCCACCTGGTATAACTCGACGGACCGGGACGGTCGCAGTGGAAAGAAGAGGTATAGGGGTGTATTCGAGGCGTCGTCTTCGTCATGCAACAAGTACGGCTGAAGAACGCGTCATGAAAAACCCCCTGAAAAACTCCATGCAACATGTGGAAGAGCACCACCTGGGACTTGGTCTTCAGATTGCTCCCAGGCACTTCGCTTCATGGTGACCCTGGGAAGCCTCCATGCCCTCCCGCAGGGGCCCGCTTCGGGCCTCAGGGTCTGAGAACCAACCAGAGTAGTTGAGAGTCTCTTCGCCCTTCAGGACAGGCAACAGCTGCCCCATCCGTGCATAGAAGAGCCGGCCGATCTGATACTTCAAATAATCGCCTCGTTGGTCCACCGGAACACATTGCTGGAACATCATGGAACAATACAATCGTTTCAGAGTAGATGGCACAAACCCATGTCTTTTAGATGGGGTCTATGTAAACCACCTTTCGGGGATTGTGCCCTAACCAACTACTTTTCAGGGGTTCAATTTCGATCTGGTTCGCTATGCAAGGAACTCTCTGGTTTTGGGAGCATGAAGTTCCAAACGAAAGATTCAACGCAATTCCCTCCGTTCTTTGGCCATTTCTCGCGAAATTTTCATGGACATCCAATCAATCGAAGTCGCCTCCACGATGAATCCTGCTGAAATCCGCTCACCCGGTAATAGTGGATTTTTCCGCTGACTAGGGTTAAAAGAATCTTTCATATGGTAAGGCCAAAATCCTTGATTTAAACAAAATCGGAAAAACAACGGCAAATGGAAAAGTAAAAAAAAGTCGAAAAAACACATAGATCACAACTCGAACCTGTCAAAAACAGTCAATAAAAGTCAAATAAAAGTCAAAACAAATCGAACAAACAAAAAACAAAGTAAACAAAAAAATGCAAAAAGTCTAAAAATATATATCAAAAGTATCAACCAACTCGAAAAAGTCAAAAAAGATCAAAAAAGTCAACATTAGGAAACAACTCGAAAAAGTCAAATAACAGTCAAATAAAATTCAGAAACAAAATGTCAATAAAAGCGTCCAAAAAAGAATATGAACACAAAAATCCGCCCACACCGCTTGCGGTGCAGGGCGTGTTAGGGGCGGGTCAAGCTGGAATCATCGTCAGTCAATCGTCACATCGTAATCAGTTCATAGCTCTGCTAGGGGGGTAGGCGCCTTTTTTTGTTTCGGGGAAAAACGTCTTACGCCTCGAGGGCCATGGGGGAGAGCGTTTTTGAGGTACATTTTTGGACTATTTCTGCAAGAACCCAAACAAGCCAAAAAACGGACACCCACGATGCTGAAAAACCCTTCTGACCAGCAACGCATAACCAGCATTATTGGAGGTACATTTTTGGACTATTTCTGCAAGAGCCCAAACAAGCCAAAAAACGGACACCCGCGATGCTGAAAAACCATGAAAAACCCTCCTGACCAGCAACGCATTACCAGCATTATTGCAAAAAGCCCAACGTAGCCTCAACACAGGGTCACCAAACGATCAAGCTAGCCTTGACATGATATAATGTGGACTAGCCTTGACATGATGTAATGTGGACTAACCAAGCGGGGGCAAGCCCACAAAACGATCGAACTTGGAGCCTGAATTGGCTTTAACATGGCCACCAAACGAGCGAACTTGTGCGTAACTCAGCCGCAACATGGCCATAGACGCTGCGGCAAACAAGCCATCTCTTTGGACACCACTCCCGACCTCCCCTGTCCACTCCAGCAGTCTTTCCCCAGACGACCGAAAAAAAAGAAGGTGGGGCGGCGGTCGACGCGAAGCGTCAGGAATAAAAAAGGTCGGATCTGGGCCAATTGATTTTTTTGACTTTCTGATTTGATTTGTGTTTGACTTTGACTTTTGGGACTAACTACTAAGTTGCCTTTTTTGTTGCCTTTAAAACAACAAAACATGAAACCAGGCTCTCCAATGAAAGATTTTATTAAGACTAGGGACCTCTTAAGTACAGGTATAATACACACATGCGTTGTTTTCCAATTGTTTCCCCGACACCTTCCTTTCCTGCACAGCCGGGTCTCCGTAGAAAGCCTTGGACGAGGACACCATGAACTTGCTGACGTTCCTGGGCAGCGCGGCAGGACAGGTTTACCTTGAGATACATGTTACATGTTTATCACATATCGATGTTATTTATGTATTGGCTCCTTTGGACTCCAAGCCATGTCCTCCTCTGGAACAAGACATGGCCCTCCCGGTGTGTTGTGGAGTTTGTGCCAAGATCGCAGTCTTCCTCCTTAAAACATGTGGACGCCAAACTTGAGGTGTTGAAACTAGAGGGACATTGGACAATGAGTGTCGCCCGAAAGAAAAAACACACGCGGACATCACCATGACGGTCAGACCTGCCTCCAACTCTCGCTGGAAACCCACCGGTCCTGTCCCAGCTTCGGTGAGTTGGAATAGCTCCCCGAGGTCAGTCGCAGGCACTTGGCCGCCGTCAGCGCCGTCAAGAGGGTCTGCAGCCGCGTGGGGGGGATCTTCAAGACCTTTGACAAGTCTTCCACCTGGCGGACACGGGTCGTCGACGGATGGGTCGTGAGCGCACGGGATGGGATCAGGTGACTGGTCGTGGGCGCACGAGTCTTGTCCTTGGGTCTCGCTTTTCGTGGATCTTGGCAGGTTGGAGATGACGTGTTTGGTATTCCAGTTGAAACACGAATAGCGGTTTCTGGGGATGACTCAAATAAGAACCTTGTAGGCAGCTGAGTCCCAGGATCGAAAAATACGTGAAAGACATAAGCTGCTTGCAAGACAGAGTCCCTTGGTTTCTAAATCCCTCAATTGATAGTTTCTAATTACCCAAATGCAGGTCCACTACGTATTCTCTTTTCTACTGACTTGCCCACTGCCTCCTGAGCTCCAAGTCCCCAAAAGGATATGTACTTGGACGTTTAGTGCCAATTAGACTACAAATTAGACTCACGTCCAACATCCTCTAACAATGAATCTAGTGCTGATTTGACAGCATCTGAACACCCTGTAGGACTTTTCAGTGATCAAACCTCCACTGATCTCACCAGTCGAAATTGTCGAAACTCTACAGTACTTCTTTGTCCCGCAGCCCAGTTTCATTGAATAGATGCTCCCAAAATGGCGCCCAAGACCACCCGACCACAACCCCCAGCTTTTCGCTCACCGATTCAAGCTTAGCTCGCTCTCCGACCTTCATCTTCCCTGCGCTGGCCAAGTGATCGAAAATCCCCAGTTCCAAGGCGCAAAAGAGGGCTTGCGAGGCCATGAACCTTAGCTGAGCTTCGTCCCCTTAACAAGTAAGAAGCGACTTCAACATCGATAGCACAACGCCTACGGTCGATGGGTTCAGAATGGATTTTCATCTGGTTGGGTGGGTATATGTGCGTGTGTGTGTGTGTGTGTCCACCCCTGGACAAAGGGTTTTCCACCACCACTTCTCACAGGCAGGGGGGTGCAGAGCACAGTGGAGACTGCACCCAACGAAGCTACCCACTTGTGCTGGAAGCAGAGCCTGATCAGCTCTGTGTACCTGCCGTTCTACCAAGCTGTGACTCCACTCTTCCTTTGGTTTGCTGTCATGGTGGTTCCATGATACTTCCCCAAAACCTTCCTTTTGCCGCGTTTGTCTTGCAGCTGAGCCGCGCCGACCGATCTTTCAGCAGACTTGACCAACAACTTGTTGAAACACCTACAAGTCTTTCGGACTCTTCACCATGCAGTTCTGTCACCTTCCTTCCCAGCGTGGGAACTGAGTTAACTGAATACAAGTGTCAGAGTGTGTTTCGCTCAGCCGTCCCACTCGGGTGCTGAGTGTGATCCCCGTCACAGGGGCGCCGTTCTTACATGGGAAAGCAACAACCACAAAGCACCACCACTCATCGGACTCTCACAGGAAGTCACCGACACCCTCACCGAATCAACCGACACACTGGCCGCCGGGCCCAAAAACGGTTCCTGTCGAATACATCAGATTTCAGATTTCGGATCTATCACGTTTATCTCTCCACGTCATGCTTGTTTCTCCACGTTTTGCCATATTAATGCCGTGACCTTTTCATCAGCAGAACTCAAGCTTGTGCATTAGAGTTCTCCAATCTAATTCGAGATGCATGAACACACTTGACAACAAGCTCACATCCAGCACCACTTCACAACATACTCCCCGTCAACACGAGCGATGAGATTTTCAACAACATTATGACAATACCACTCGGCACTTTTCCGCTGCATCCTTGCTGCTGCGCCGCGCCGTGCCATAGCTACGACTACGATATGCATTTTCCGTGGCCATACGCTCACGCCACACCACCACCATTACCTACCACACAACCTCAACCCACATGGCCGCTGCCACAGCCGCCAACTGCACCCACCTTTCCCTCGCCACAACCATCGGCATACCCTCACCCACAACCACAACCATTTCAAACACCACCTATTTTGCCCAGTCCAACCGCCACTGCACTAACCTACGGCACTCCGTCCACCTGGACGTTTGTGCAACCATCTCACATGCCACCGCAACCCACACACCCAACTCCAGTGTTTCAGTCCGCAGCACCTTCCCCTTCATACATTTTGCCACAACTACATCCTACACCACCTGCTGAACCTACCCCCACTACACAGGCACAACCCCTTCCAACACCACAACAAGCAACAGTTGCCCATCATCCATCCACAGACCCACAATGCGCCATCCCTCAAGGAGTTTGGCAACCTTACTCAGTCTTTCCCCCAGTTACACAGCCTCCACCCCAACCGTTGCCTCCACCGCCCCCCCCCCAAGCCATCGGCGCCCCACCACCAGTTCAGCCCCCACTCCCACAACAGGCACCATCGGACCCTACACCACTAGTCCAACACATCACTACAACAGCCACGGACCCTTCATTGCCGGTCCAAAACATGACCCCTCCAGCCACTGGCTCCCAACCTTCCGCATCACCATCCATTGCATCAGCACCACCAGCTCCTGGACCTTCACTACCTGCAACAGACAAGCCCGACACCACCGCCTCACCGGCACCACAACCACCTTCCCCACAGCCACCACACAGCAGTCGCCGCCACCACCACAAGAGCCGACGCAAGTCCGATCATCACCACCGAGGACGCCACCACCACCGCCGCCGGCATCGACATCACCACCACTCAAAGCACCACAGCGCAACCCGGCGACGCCGTTCACCCTCGACATCCACTTACACATCCAGCCTTACACCATCCCGCAGCCGCTCACCACCACAACCCATCGACTTACGCCCCAACACTGAACACACCAACCCCGACCCCTCTCAATATCCCACCACAGCCGTCCTTCGTCGCCCAATCAACCGTTGGCGACCTCCACCCAACTTTCACACTTTTTCACCTGCAGACCAACTCCTGGAATGGCTTGAATTCCACGCCAACCAACTCGACAACCCCAACCGACCACAGCACCAGTACATTGCCAATCTCCTCACAGACTGCAACATCACCTACAAGGAGATCACCGATTTCCGGCAATATACTCACGCCAGGTGGAACGACACCACTCGCCAATATGACCAATTCCAATACTACGCCATCTCACTTCCTTTCCTCAACACAAAGGCCACCACACCGGAACCACCCGCGGTTTCCCGAGCCACATCAACCCACCGGGAAGTCGCCCACATCAACGCCGGCCACACAGGCCCGGTCGGCAACATTGCCAACATTCTACGCCAAGGTTGATTTTTACCCAGCACACTTCACTTTGCCAACTACCCTGGCTTCTTTGCCCAGGGTGTCCGCATCACCCACAATCAACCCCATGATCAGAGCGAATTTGCTCGCATCATCCACAACACCTGGCAACTCCACAAGAACTCCCACTCCCTCATCATCACACTCCTTGCTTGGGGTGCCGCCACAAAATACACCTCCGGAGGGGAAGAACATGCCATGAACCTCCTCAACGATTACCACGGCGCCGTCTTCCACCAGAAGGGCCGCTGCTGGGTGATCCACCCGGACCATGCCATCGTCAAAGGACTGGCCTGGTCCACAAACTCCACTCCACCTGACATGTAACACCACTGTCCAACACCTCCACACTACTACCACCTCTACCTCCACCTCTTGTCTCACACCACCACACAACCTTGGCCTATAGCAGCAAAAAGCCTCTTGCAGCGGCCACGCGAATTTTGAGCTTTTAATTTTTCAAGCTTTGCAGGTTTCGTTCTGCAAAATCTCATTCCGAATCTCACCAGCTGTTTAGATGAAGTTTTCTTCACATGTTGGAGTTTTCTGCACTTGATCTTTCAGTCGGACTTGCATTTTTCGCACCATGCCCGCGGGAATTTGATGCTCGTTTAATTCATATGCACGGCCCCGTGATGACGTGCTCCCGCAGATCAGCTGCCGTCCTGCTGCCCTGGCGCGCTGCCGCAGCAACCTGTGACGACTCTGTGTGACTGTACATCCCTCTATCTCCAAGTCATGAGCAGCACACTGACACCTCCACACAATGACACCCAAACTCTCCTACATCAAACCGCTGTGGTACTTTCGCAGGTCCAAAACCTGCTCAGGCAAGCAACAGATATTGTAGCACACCTTCACACTCACTTTCTCCACCACATCCACCAAGCGGATCCCACTTTCCGCCAACATTTTCAGCCACTACCAACTCCGCCAACTCACCCTATACGTTTACCCTCCACCACCTCCTCCTGTGACTCAGCACCATCTCGGCCACCCATCCGTTTACCAGCACCACTCTCAAAAGACTCCGACGACACACCATCAACAGCCCCAGCCCCACAACCTGCTACAACACGCAAGCGAAAGCAACCACTGCCACCACCACTGAACCAGCAAGCAGACTGGGACGCATGGGATGGTGACGCTGATTGCCGCCTGGTTGAACTCAAAGGGAACCCCCGACTCCGTCCCAACTGGGTTTCTGTTGCTCGCCGAGTGGGCTTCTCCGTCGAGCAATGTCAAGCCCAATGGCAAGAACTCAAGGACATGCAACGTCAGCAAGACCAGCAACTTTCCTCCACACCACTACCAACAGAACCACCACGACAAGCACCTTCCCTCTCACCAACACCCACCTCACCAGCAGTTTCCCCACCACCACATTCACAACCGGATTTCTCCCCTTCTCCCAAGACAACACCACCGCCTTCACCACATCGATCACCTTCAGCTGCTGTGCTGCTGCCGCCGGCTGCTGAGCGAGCGCCTAGTGAGAACGGTCATCCGGAGAAATCTCCACTTACGCCTGTTGGCAGTTATTTCATATGATCCGTTTCACCCCGCTTTCTCTACGGCGTGCTGCAGGACAAATCCTTTGACATGCAGTGACAAGTTGTTTTCACGCCCGTTCTACTTTCGCCATTCTTTTTGGCAACTTCGGTCTTTCATGTTCTCAGGCTCACTCTAGCTCCGCAGCTTTTTGTGTGCCACTTTGTCCTACTTTCTTGTACCCACCTTTGTGGCCAATCCTCGCGCTCGCCCCCATGGCAACACCGCCAACACAGAATACTACTTGCCACAGCGCCCTCCGAGCTGGCTCCAACCTTCGATTTGCGCTCAACCTGATTTTCACTCTCTCAACAGCTCCATTGACCTTCTTTTTATGGTCAACCAACACCTTCGCCACCACCCATTCCACACAGAACCCATGCCCGACCAGACGTATTTTCAGGACCAGAGAGCATATAACCTCCTTTACCGCATGCGCGGCGACCTGATCTTGATGGACCGGCTGATTGATAGCCTCTACCAGGCTCGTCGGCTCCTCCAATTTGTCACCACCGGACCAGGCCTCCCAGGGCAATACCGCATCAACCCCACAGCCTCACTCTCCAACCGAAACCTGGCCATTCTACACAACATACCGCCAGGTTTCCCACTACCACCCGGACTCTCCAGCCGCTCACCTTCCCCCGCACCACGTACACCACCGCAAGACGCGGAACGACTTCACCATCACTGGACAGGTCCTCCACCACAAACTCCCCCTGCCACTAACATCAACACTGCCACTCGCACCCGGGACCGCTCTCGCTCCCGCGACACCCGCAGTGGCTAAGTACAACATTCAGCACCCCAGCAACATTCCAACCCGGGATCTACAGCGGCCGCTATGCACCTTGCCACACCTGAGACGACTTCCCCGGCCACAGTTGCTGCCACGCTTATGTTTTCAGGTCTCACTGACATTTCTCGGCGAGCGGAAAAACCTAGCCATCTAACTGGTCTTCCACTCTTCTCATTCTCACTGTTG